CCCTCACCCCCCTACCCCGCCTCCCTCCTCCCAAGCCAGAGACCTAGATTTCAACCACTGGGAAATAATCATATCCCTGGATACGTGATGCTGCTTTACCGTGCGGCTCGGATCCATCCCATATTCTTGGTAATAGCCTGGATCTGCTCAGGGAGATCTGGGGGGTGGAGAACCACCAGCTCCAAGCAGCTTTGGGGAAGGAGATGGGGCAGGATTGGACTCACAGAGACAACACCGCTCTGCTCTTGGCTGAGTTGAGGATGTAAAACGCAACAATTTTATGTCACTTTGCATTTACAGACGTTCCTTTGCATGGAGGCATCTCCCACCCCCAAAGGAGAGACAAGACCAAGCTCTTACAAACTTGACATGGAAGACCTACGGATCAACCCCTGCCCTGGGACATGAGGGACTGCTCTGCCATTATCCCATGGCCGCAAGGAGAACACCCGGGCAGCGGCAAGTCCTGCAAGGCACCCAACAAACTCTGCTCTGGAGGAGGCGATGGAAAATATTTCTGGTCCCATACACAGCAGTCAAATTGGCAAGGAGCTGCTGGTGCTGCCAGCAATTGCCCCAGGAACAACGACCCGAGGTGGGATGGGAGGGTATGGACCACCCTGAATACCCAAGAATACCCAGCCGGGCAGGGGGATGTGGGGACATGTAGGGCTAAATCACATTATTTTCTCTCCCCGAGGTGCCAGGAGCAGCGGGTGACACAGAGCAAGAGACTGGGTGCAGCACCAGGGAGTGCAGGGGGATGCTGTCACCCACTGCTCCTCCCAACACCCCTCTCAATCTTGAAACAAAAAGCCCCAGCCAGATCCCAAGATGGAAAATGAATTTCTCACCCTATGGCAAAATTGGGAATCCTTCACTCCCTGCCACAAATGGCCTTTGTGCCACAGGTTTTCTTACTGCATGCATCCAGCTGGACACGAGGCTGCTTTGGATAAGGGATTTTTTTAATGTCATCTGCATCGTTTTAGCCTTTTCTGAAGGCAGATCTGCCATAGCAGGGTAGGTTGAATTCAGAAAAATGCTATGCCCCGGGCTAACCCTTATGCAATATGCAGAAACTGAGGCCGGGCAGAGAACAACAATTCAAGTGAAGCTGAATTTCTAACTTGTTATTCCTGCTGCCGCCTTGCGAAGGTTTTGCAAAACCAGGGGGATTTTTTTCATATAAACGGCACCAGCTCTTTACAAAGAGCCAAAAATCCCATCTCTAGCAAATCAGGGGAATTTCTGTGAATTGAGTGACACTCTCCTGATTTACTATCCTAATTGTGGAGCTATTCTTATAGTCTGTGTGTCTGCACTTGCCTCCCTCAGCCACGCTGACAGCTCCAGACGTAACCCAGCCTTTCAGAGAACGAGACGAGCTGAGGCACTGCACCCACTTGTCTGTTTTACAAGGATTTAACCAGCCGATGTCTTTGCATCGATGTTATCGTTAAAAAATGAGTCCCTCCTGGATTATTTCTCTTATTCAAATGGACTTTATAGTCACCCAAACCAGAAACCTTACCTCATCTGTGTGCGTGGCGCTGGGAAAGTCACTTGGCATAAGGATGTCCCAGGGACCCAGCAACCCGGTGTCCAGGTCCCATCAGGAAGCAGATGAGCTCCCCTTGCTTTGCCACCTTTCTTCCCAGGGAGGCCCCCAAAAGGCTTTTCAGACCCTGTGTTTGTGGGCTTGGAGCCATTCATGCGAACAAAATGCAAAAATGTGCACTTTTTTCCCCATTTTTTCCCCCCTGTATCCTGCTGGCAGGGGGTTTGGTAGACACTCTGTGATGAACCCCACAGGGCAGGGTGTCCCCAGGAGCGGCCGCATCCAGAACAGCAGAACTCAAGCCCTAGAGTCACAGTGCAAAGCACCATCACGCCTGGCCCCACGCCACATCACTGGGACGGGCACCAGCGTTACCATCCTCACTCACCCTGCACAGCCTTGGATGGTGGCATCTCCCCGTGGTGTCCCTGCTGGCGACTCCATGTCACCTCCTGAAAAGCCAGAGGGACTTTTAGAGTTGGAGTGGACACCAGCAGCCATGACAAGAGGAAGAGCCAAGCTGGACCAAGGCTTGGCCGCGGTGCCAAGAAGAGTGGGCTTGCACGGGACAGGGTGCTGAGCCTCCATCTCCGCCCGTGCCACGGATTGTCAGCTGAAAGGGGTTGACAGAACTGGGCCCTGTGTCATTTGAGGAGCTGTGAAAGTGAGTTCCTGGGGCTGTGAGTCACCCTCCAGGGAAAGCATCCGACCTCCCACTGCTGCCTACGTCAGAGGACCGAACTCCCGGCCCCCCAGCACCCGCACCTCAGTGTGCGAGCAAGAGGAGGGAATGCCGAGAGATGTCGGTGACCCCGATGCGGTGGCACGGCATCTAAAAATGACAGCAGCCAGGGAACAAAATGACACTGACCTGCGGAGCAGACTTTGCCCTTCCACAGCAGATGCTGCTGGTGAATCCCAAAATACCGTCAGAGTGTCTCCCCCCACCTGGGGAGATGGGGGGAGGTTTGGGCTTTTGCCCAGGATGAGAAAGGAAGAGCAGAGGAAAAAGTGATGCTGGGCTCTGCAGGAGCCGGGCAGGGCTCCTGGTCCATGGGACAATCTCCTGGTCCCCAGGAAGGCACTTCGTGGCCAAAGGGAAAACTGCAAATATCACCTGTCTGCATCAAATAAATTTTCCCTCTGTATTCCTCCAAGGTGGTTTTCATAATAAAATATCTGACTGTTTTAAAAATAGCTCCTTTGGGTACCAGTCTGAATTCTCGTTTGCTTGAGACTGCTGAGTTGCAACATCTTTGCCTCCAAAGATGCTCCACCAGCCTGGACGGCTGGTCTGGAGAGGAGCTGGGCACCATTTATTGAAAATAAAAGTCATTTAGTGCAAACAAAACACAGTAAAGAACTTCAGTTCTTGAGGGCTTTGGAGCTCGTCGAAATGATTGTGAATATTTTATGCCAGGCTGCTGCTCGCTCCAGGAGAGCTAATGGACCCGCTGCCGGGCTGGTGCAGGGCGAGCGTCGGCCCTGGGAGGGTGCCTCCTGCTTGGGCTGCTCCAGCCACTCCAGTTAAAAGGCTCTCAAAGCCGCTTTATTTCACTTGCACAAACAAAAAGGACAGGACAAGCCAAATTAACGAATGGAAAAGCAATCAATAGCCTCCTTCCAGCCAGGCGCGAGGGCTTTCAGGTCTGGGAAGAAAGGCCGCCAGCTCGTAAGCATCATCCGTGGGTGAAGTCCCTCCACCCTCTCCAGGGCTGGGGTTTTACTCACGGTGTCAGCCAAGCTCCTGCGTCCGTGCAGGCTGGCTGTGGGCCATCACCTCCTCACCGAGGCGACCCAGCCATGTCCCTCTTGCTTACAGTCCTCCTGCTCCAAAGGGACTTGCTTCAGGGCTCCAGAAGTGCCTTTATCTGAGACACCAGCCAAACGCCTGCTTTGCCGAGCCAGGACTGCTCGTGTGGCCCCAAGACAGAGAAGAGGTGATGAATGTCTAATTTTCTCTCCAATGATTCATTTTTTTCAGGTCTGAGCCAGACCATGCCCATCTGCCCAGCAAAGTCTCCCTCCTCCTCTGGCTTTGGTGGAGGATGATGCTCACCAAAAGCAGGGAAATAGGGACAAAAGTGGAAATCTTCTGGTTGTTGAACTTAGGGAGGAGAAGACTAAGGGGAGATGGGTGAAACCTCCAGTAGAGATGGCCAGCACCTGTAGGCAGATTGCTTTTGCCTTGGGGGAGCAGTTAAGTGATCTCAGGGTCCCCTCTGCACTGCCATGATGGGGCACAAATCCTTTTAGTCACTAGTCCTGGGACTAGTTCCCTGTGCAGGTGATGAGCAGGGTGACAGCACCTCCCAGCACAGCACAAATGGGACAAGCAGCCCCGCAGAGGCAATTTTTAGACTCCATGGGTCTCAGCCCAAGTGTCTGCTGGTGCTGGGAAGGAGCCAAGAGCTGTTGAAGGTCAGATCTGAGCCATGGAAAGGGGTGAGATGTTCCCATCACCCCAGATGTTCATCGCTCCCTGGTAAACAAGCTGGGAGGAAAGTGGTTTGAGAGGATGATTTGCCTCTTCTCTTCCTCCCACGCTGAGATGCTGCAGGCAGATGCAGCCAGTGGGTGCGCTCGGGCTGGGAGCACGTTCCCAGGGCTGGGCTGGCAGCCTGGGCATGGTGACACTGTGGGCACGGTGGCACCGTGGCAGTGTCAGCCAGGAGATGGCACCGCATGGCACAGCACAAAGCACCGCTGAGCCCGGCCCGCTGGGCCAAAGCCTGGCCTGGGCCAAGTTATGGGGCATGCCAGCCCCATGGCCATGCCAGACTGAGAGCGGTGCCAAATCATGAGCTGTGCCAAACCGCGGGCCACACCAGGTCAGGAGCTGTGCCAAGTCGTGGACTGTGCCGGGCTGGAAGCTGTGGCAGATTGCATGGCACGCCAGCCCGCCCCGGCTTCGCCACTAACCTCACCCTCCAGCCAGGGCCCCCCTGTCTCTGCTGCGCAGCTCCAGACCCTGCATGGCCTCTCCTTGAAATGGCCATGCCATGGGGGAAAATTTCTAGCAGAAAAAAAACCCAAATTTTTTTCCACTTTCTCAAACGGTTTGGAGGAAATTCATTATTTTATGGCTGCTGTCCTGCTGCCGGGAGCAGCTGGAGATGCCCCGTTGTGGTGACAATGACCTGGCCCCTCAAGCGTCTCCGCAGCAGCTCTGGGCTCACTGTTCCCACTGGTGACTCGGGTGGATGACAGCCACCGGGCTGCAGGTGACTCGGGAGGACACAAGGTGACATGCCCAAGGCTACGTGGGCAGGCAGTGTCAGAGCCCCATCTACTCCAGGCAGGTGTGGACCCCACAGCCCCCTCCCCTTGATCCATGGGGAATGCCACTGACTCACAGCATCCTCTTCCCCGTCATT